GCGGTGACTGCGACGGTTGTTGGTGCGGAAGCAGTAGCGACTGCGATGCTAGCAGATTCGGGTGTAGCAGTGACTTGGACGGGCACAGGCACAGGAGCCCATCTGCCAAAGCCTGGCTCTTTGAGATGACTCTTTGCTGCTCGATTCGCCGCCGTCATCTTTCTATATGCTCTTGCTAGAAGGTGCTGCCACTCGAGTTCTATCCCTTCGAGCCTCTCTGTATTGTCCCTGATGTCGTCCTGGATCTCCCGGACCTCGCTTCGTCGCTTGGATTGCTGCTTGTCGCGAAGCTCCCGCTCCAGGCGTATCCTTTTGTCGTCAATCCTTTCCCATGTGTTCAGGTGAGCGACCAGATCATCCCAAGCGCCTGACTCTGCATAGACGACTCGCCTCAGTTCTGAGATTGAGATTGTCGGTACGTAGGAATCTTCGTGAAGACGTCGACCATGGTGCCTCAACGCAATGCGCATATACTGATCCTCCAATTCTTTTAGGCTTGCTTTACCCTGCTGGAGTGTGGTATCGAGGATCCAATTCCAATCGTCTCCAACCGTGTCGTGTAGTCGCGCCACCGCCTCCTCGTAATCAGCGACCACTACCATTTTATTCTCTATGTCCCGCTCCAGATCTAGTAGATTTGTCGATATTCGTGACATCGTGGGATGATCTGATACACGGCTGTAAGAGGTGTATCTCGTCGCGGAAATCGTATCGTGTAGAGGGGACCGCTTTCGAATTGGTAGGCTAGTCGCCTTGGAACGAAAACAATGGCGTGGTGCGACGAGAGACGGAAGATTTTTCAAAAGCCCGTTTAGTGTGCGAGAGTATTTGCGCAAACGGCGCCTCGCTTGGCGAAGCAGCTTTCACTTTCGTGACAGTGTACCGCGACTTTATCGCTTTCCCATAAAGAGATGTCGATTACAGAACGCATAGCAGCTGTTCTATCAGAAGTTCATGGGCCATCGATGCCCTCTCTAAGACACCGGACAGATATCGCCAGCCTCCCCTCCCACGCTCCCCCTCCCTACAAACACCCCTCAATAGCCCTCCTCACCTCCTTCGGCTTCGCCCCGGTAACCCCCTCCATAATATCCCCATCCTTAAACACACTAAACGACGGCATACTCCTAACCCCCAGCTCCTGCGCAATATCCTCACACTCCTCCACATCATACGTGTAAAACTTTACGTTTGGGTACTCCGCCACCATCTTTGCGACTTCGGGGGCGACGATGTGGCAGTTCTTGCACCAGGTGGCTGTGCCTTCGAGGATGGTGACACCTTCGTACATGACGGCTTTGAGGTACTCGGCTTTGGTGTGGAGGGTTGGTATGGAGGGGGTTGAGGATGTCATGATTGGGGGGATGTGAGGTGGTACCTGGGGAGGTATGAGATGGGAGGTCGAGTCAAGATGGGTGTTTGGTGTTGTTGATGGATGTTTGGTGAGGCTGCATGGCTGGGGCGGAGATGTGTGGGGAAGGAGACGATGATGCTGGTGACGTCATCGCTTTCCGCGTGGAAAGAACGCCGACGCGATGGTCCATCGTCTCGTCCTCGTGTCGCGCATATTCCTCTATACTTGCGAAATCTTCGTGATGCTCTTCTAGTTAGGGTTAAAGCCCCTTAAGGCGGGGGCTGTGTGACAAGGTGATTCGATTGCAAGTAGGTATGGGCATTGGAAGCTACGTTGCGTTACATCTTTCCCACAGCCCGTTAGCTACATCTTCTACTTATTCTCTCTCTTTGAAGGGGCATCATAATGAATCTCGTAAGATGCTTGCCAGTCGGGCTTGAGTTGCAACCACTACTCCTTTCTAATCATTGTTGTTCCCCAGTAGCTGGATAGAACCAACACCAGACGTTGGTTTGACGATAAAAACACTGGACTATGTGCTGCAGGTAATACGGCATGAATACCCTACTCAAAACTCACGATTGAATCCAGCAATGGCAATGTTTAATGTTCCGAGAGGCATCGTGACGCGCCTGCGCCTTGCCATCGAGAAGGGCCGATAGAGCCGTTTCTCCCGACCACCTTTACGATGATCGACAACCACCACGCGATGCGGTCATTACACTCCAACATCTGCACAACCAGCGCAAACACCAAGAACAGGTTTTCGTTCTATCTAATATTGAAAACTATAGGTCTCTTAATATATTAATGTAAACCTAGTTTTATTTACTAAGGCGCTAGTCTAGAAGTAGATTTTTTTCTTTTATAACACTACGTTTTTATATAAATAGTAAATATTATAAAAGTCTAAAACTAACTTATAATACTCTAACTACTTTAACTATTTTAAACTAGTTATATACTAAACTTAGTAAGTAGTATATTTACTAAGCTTACTTTCTACTACTATACTTTTTTTAAAAACTTTTTTTTAAAATTTATTAGCTACTACTTAGTAGTAAGTTAAAAAAGTAGTACTTTAATTATAGCTACTTTTTATATATAAAAGTAAAAATAACTTAGTACTATAATATTAAAAATTTTACTTTAAAGTATAAACTAATTATATACTATTATTAATAGTGCTTTATACTTAATTTTATAAACTTTATTTAGTAAAAAAATATTAAAAAACGTCTAGCTTTTAAAGTTATTTTAGAACTACTAAAAAATTTTAAAATTTTAATATATTTAGTATATATTACTATTAGTACTAAGGCTTTTAACTAATAATATATTACTTTTAAAGCTTTACTAAGAGAGTAAACTTTATATTAAGTAATACTTATATTAGTATATTAATATCTTACTATATTTAATCTTTAGCTATTAATATAATATAACTTAAGACGCTAAGTAGCTAATAAAGATAACTACTCTATTATAGCTTAGTTCTTAAAAGTAACTATAATAGTAAAATACTAATATAGCTACTATCTATTTAATAGTATTATTATACTAAAAGTAGACTTTAAATACTTTATTCTCTTTAGTCTATTTATTATTACTCTAGCTAAAAATTCTAATAAACGCCTTATACTAGTATATAAAAGCTACTTTTATCTTTATAAGTAAAGCTATCTATAGCTTAATCTTATATATAAAGTTATAAGTATAAATAGTATAAATAATTAATAAATTACTTTAAGTAAAAAGAGTAACACTAGTAATATAATAACTATTTTATTACTTTTTTTAAAGTAAGTATAGCTTATAAAAAAACTTTTATATATTACTAGTAAGTTACTTAAAAGCTTAGCTATAATAAAAAACTATAAAAAGTTTTAGTTTACTTATTAAGAGCTTTTATAGTAGTAGTATAGTAATCTTAATAGTATTAATAGTATTAATAGTATTAGTAGTTTTAGAATATAATATAAAATAAGTTAAATAAGCTTTAAAAGCTCTAATAATAGTCTTTATAATAGCCTTAATAATAGTTTATATAATAATCTTTAAAATAGTTTAACTAAAAGCTTTTTTTTTAGTAGTAGTTTTAGAGTAGTTTATAAAAGCTTTAATAAGTAATATAATATAGTATAAAAATATAATTAATATAAGTATAAAGAAAAGTAATATAACTAGTAATAAGATTAGCTTTAAACTTACTAATACTAAAAAAACTTATAAAAGAGATTAGTAATATAGTTAAAAGCTTATTTAGTCTTTAGTATTAGATTTAAGCTACTATTTACTTTAATAAGTTTTTAAATCTTTAATTTACTATAAGCTATAAAATAAGAATAAAAATAAAAATAAGAATAGAGATAGAGATAGAGAATAGAAAGTATATATATAGTAAAAGTATAATTTTACTTACTAAATATTTTAGTATTTTATTACTTTATAATTTATAGCTTAGTTAGTTATAAGCTATTAAGAATATATAATTATATTATAATTCTCTTTACTATAGTATAAGTAGATATTAGTATTTATAAAATAGTTACTTTACTACTCTAAATTTTAAAAGCTTTAACTACTATACTAAAAGTAGTAGCGCTAAGAACTTAAGCCTTAGTCTATCTAATGTCTACACTTTTAAATATAGAATTTTAACTCTTTTTAAAATATATCTTTTTATATACTAGTAATAGACTTTACTCTTTTTAAACTAGCTTACTATAGAATTATTAGTTTACTAATAAATACTATTATTAAGCTACTTAAATATATATAAAATTATTTTAGCTACTTTTATATTTTAATAAAGTAGCTATACTTTTTTTATTTTTAATTCTTTAGGTATTACTTTAAAAAAAGTAAGTAAGTAGTAAAAAATCTTATACTATAGTAAAAAATTAAAATATAAATATAAAAATAATACTATAAAATTATTAAAGAAGCTAAGAAGTTAATAAATAATAAGCTAGGCGTTTATTATTATAATAATCTAGTTATTTATTATTATAATAGAAAGTTTAAAAAAAAGTAGTAAATGCGTATTTTATAAACTTACTAGTTAAGCTTTAACTTTAGTTTTATAGTATAAGCTATTATAAAACTTATTATACTAACTTATTATAATAACTTATTATATATTTATTATAAAGTTATTTTTAGCTACTATAAGTATATATAAAGATAACTACTTTAGATAAATAGCTTAGTAAACTACTATTACTAAATATTTTCTTCTTTAATATATATAACTAAAGTATGTAAAAAGACCTCTTAGGCTTAAGCGTAAAAGACAGAAAACTATAGGTACGTTAGTAAGATGAGACAGATACCACACACGATCGGGTCTCGGCTCCCCTAGCGTAGACTGGTGGCTACGCCGGCACGGCTGTACCTGGGTTGGGTGGAGAAGATAGGTTCGTGCCAAGACATGTATGACATAGGTGGTCCAGCGGATAGATGACGCTGAAGACGTAATGTGGAGGTACAGCAACAGGCTGGCTGTGTGTATGTCATGGGTATATAAGGCTGGGTACTGGTGTCTACGAAACGCTATACATCATCAACTACTCATCACACATCAAATCTATCTACCTGAACCACCCACGACCAAATCAAACTTTACGTCACACCCCCTCCAAACATGTCTGGACAAGGAGTTTCCCACCAGGGCATCACCGCCCCCGGCCTCAGCGAGGCGGACCAGAACATCAACAACACCACCGAGGATATCAGCAACAAGGCTTCGGGTCACAAGGCCAATTTGAGCAACCCCAGTATGCTTACTCCCTCGCTCGACTCCCCTGTTGTGGGTTTGAACGAGATTGGGATAGAAGGCTAACGCGTGATGCAGACACTAGCGAAGAGTCCAAGAAGAAGTCTGCTGAGGCGCTCAAGGCACTTGGTGGCGAGGATGCTTTCTACGGAAAGCAGGGTAAGGGCGAGTAGGGAATTCTCTACTGCTTTGTTTGAGGATAGATGAAGTTATGATACCATTTCAAGATAAAAATATAATGTCTTTCAACATCAATGATGCGCTTGCCCCAATGCTACACGAGTGATTTACAACTTGTTCGTATGCTCCATCGCACTGCACGAGTATGCCTTCATGAGCAACTTAGAAAATGAAGCTCATAATCGGCTGTTGCATGCGTGAAAAGCGGTGAAATTTGATGCAATTGCGACCTCTAATATCGTAACGAACTCTCGCTTCCCTTGAACACAAAGACATTTTTCTTCTTACAACTCACTATGCCCCTCCCTCCCACTCTCAGCATCCTTCACCTCCTTCTCCCTCCTCTGCTCCTCCTCCTGCACATCCACCACCCCCGCCTTCTCCTCCTCCCCCTTCACGCGTCTAGCCAACCCCGCAATCTCCCCATCATAAACCCTCCACTCCGGCACCTGCCTCCTCGCCCTCTCCAACTTCGGCTCTTTAGTCTGCGGATTATTACAAAGATCAATCGTCTTCGCCTTGTGCAAATCCTCATCGCTACACCAAGTCTCGCACCACAGCCACTCTTGAGGTAGACTGTGGATGGGGAGGTTGAACTGCATGTTATTGGGTAGGTCTTGGTCGAGGTTAGAAAGGGAATTTGGGTCCGCGGAGAGGGCGTGGTATTGCTGGCGGAGGCGGTCGCCGGCGGCGAGTTGGCGGAAGCGGGACAAGTCTACGACGTACAGCGCGGAAATGTGGTAAGGGCGACCACGCAAAAAGTTAGCCCAGTATCCTGTTTTCCAGAAACGGAAGCCTTCCATTTCTGTGCGCGAGTCGCCCATGGGTGTGAAGCCATAGGGCGCGCCTTCTAGGTCGTGTTGCACGAGTTCGTACATGTCTGTTCGCACGATTTGGTCGGCGTCGACGAAGATGACTTTTTCGAGGTCGAGGGGGAAGAGGACGTCTAGGAAGAGGATTTTGTAGCCCCAGATCTCGCGCTGCTTTTCAGTTTGGCCGCGCAGCCAGTGCGGCCATTTGTAGGTGACCATTTCGTATTCGAAACCGTACTCAGCGGCGATGTGCGGGAGGAAGGATTTGAAGCTGGGAGAGAGGAATTGCTCGATGAACCAGAATTTGACGGTGTGTTTGGTGTGCTTCATGACAGATACCATCATGATGTTCAGCATGCGCTCGTACAAGTGGCCTGAAGCGACGGAGAAGATGTTTATGTCTGCTTGCGTGCCCTTCTTCGCCGCTTTGCCTCCGGAGAACAGGTCAGCGCCCTTCTGCAGAACCTTCTCAGAGTCGAAGTTGAGACCAATCTTGCCGAGGAACTTGTTGACCTTCTGCGCGCTCTTGCCAACAAGCTCGGATGCGAGCGATTCTTCAGGAGCGAGTACATCGGTTTCCTCGTGGCCTGGCTTGCGCGATAGTCGCGGGAAGATTGTAGCCCCCTGGAAGCTCATGAGAGCAATCTCGGTAGTCTCGTCACCTGGCACAGGTGCCCAGCTGATGGGACCTGCACTATCTAGGCTAAAGACTTCCTGAGAGCGACCGCTCTTCAGCTGGATGTTGTAAAAGCCAGGAGTGGCCTTGAATTGGAAGTAACCGAGATTAGCCATGATGATAGTATCCGCGAAATGAGGATCCCGCTCAGTGGCAAGAACAACTTCAGCACCACGCGGCGGCTGACCACCATTCGTAGTGTCACGAGAGTGGCCCTCGATGAGGATGTTCTCCAGTTCATAGACAGCGGTGACATCGGCACCAGCAGGAATGGTACTAAGCTTGATGTTGTCGAGATCATATACAGACTCTTTCGGAGCAACTAGCCAAGAGGGTGGCACATCCATGCCAAGGTTCAGCAAAGCCTCCTTGGGGATGCCATAGAAGTGGGTTCCAAGGCTTCCGATGGATCCATCGGCGACAAAGGACGGTCGGGCTTCGAGAACGTATCTGTAGAAACGTTTGACGGGAAGTTCTTGAAGCATCTGCTTGGGGTTCAGGAAAAGCTTGAGGTGTGTGCCCTCCATGTCGCTGAGTACTTTAAGGATTGGTACCCACTTCTGTGCGAGCTCAGTAGCCGGGTCGATTGAAGCCACGATCTGGAACACAGCCTTGTCTTCGTCACCCCGGATGATAGCGGTGTGCTTGGCAGTCCAGTTGTTGTAAGTGCTCATCCTCAGGGTTGATGCAGTCTCGAAGATGCCTTCTGGAACGTCCGACACAATGGAGAGTGCGACCAGCGACTGGATCTTCGCAACATCGATAGGAGATGCGATCTTTTCCATGAGGTCAAGATCGGCAAGTGCTCTGTTCAACGGCTCAACGCGTTTAACCTGCTCATAAGTGACAAAAGTTTCCACGTCATCATATGAGAATCCGTAATCTTCTGGGATGGGTCCCACGTAGCGTCCGTTGACAAGCATGCCGTTCTGTCCCGGCTTCAGACCGAAGGCCTCGTAGATCGGCTCAGCAACCTTCCAGAATAGAGTGGAGTTGGCGGGAGTTGATCCGTAGTTGGCATCCCGGTTCACGATCTCGGAGAGGGCTTCGCTTGTAAGCTTACGGTCAGACTTGATGTAAGTCTCTAGAAGATCTTCTGAGGCGTTCGACTGCTCCGCACCGGCTTTCGGGTTGTGTATGAGAACAGACTCTACGTTAGGGTTTGCCTCACGGAAATCTGCCAGTGCTTTGAGAAGAGCAAAACCAGCCTCCGAGTCGAAATCCGCCACGAGCGTGACGTGAATCCAGTCACTCTTGCTAGCAGACTCCGATGCTGGGATCCGCGGCATCTTGTTGTAAGCCTCACCGTGTATCTCTTCAAATTCAGCCATGTTGATGAGCGTGATGTTCTTCTCGTTCTCTGGGATGACGAGAGGATTGCGCTTAGCAGCAGCTGAGGCCAAGAAGTGTTGCGGAACCCAACTATCGCTGTTGAAGTTACCATTGAAGACAGCCTGCTGAATCTGACGAAGATCCATGCCGACTCTTTGGCTGAGTGTTCCGAGCCATTCTTCGGTCGCTGGAATGGGTACACCGTTGACGAAGACTGGGGCTTTTGGACCTTCTGCTGCTAGACGCTTCAGGTACTGTTTGGCACCTGTGATGCGCTGATCCAGCGTCTCTGAATTCAGTACGTCATCAAAGGCCAAAGCCTCCTTTCCCTCGAGGAGCGCGGTTTTCTTGACTGTCGCGTCGAAGGTGGCTTGATCTGCGTGTGCCAACTTCTTGCCATCCGCCAACTGTTTCGCGTCAGCGCAACATACGACTTCGTAAGAGGTTTCAACACTTACTACTTGAAGGTATTCAATCACAGCAGGCAGTCCATACGCGTCTTGCAGATGGTAAACTACCTTGGCCTGCTCAAGAGCACCAGTTGTAGCGGTCTGAGGAACGATACCCCAGCGCAGCGGAATACCGCGCCTGATGAGACTGAGGATAGTCTCAAGCATGGTCGTGACATCTTCGGACGAAGTCAAGTCAACAGCGACGATGGCGTTGTGAATGTCTCTGCGACACGATGGCAACTGACCAGGATACGTTCTCTGCAGTAACTGTAGTTTCGATTAGCTCAAGATCGATGATATGGATAATCGTACGCACAGCCCTGAGTTCACTTGGCCACCCTTCGTACATCGGGTCGTTTTCGATGTCGTTTAGCCACAAGATGACGTTGCCGCCTTCGGTAGCATCTCTGAAGTCATAACGTTGAGGTTCAGCATCCGTCTGAGTCTGGGCGATGGAATCATGCGACAATAGCGAGATGACTTCAGAACCGCTTAGACCCTGACTGCGTATCCCGTTGATCAATTTACGTTCACGTCGCAGATGTGCTAACAGCGAGAAGGGGTTCACATCGCGGGCTGGGATCTGTACGCCGTTGATCCAGATGACATTGTATCCGGTAGGGAGGAGTTGCTCGCGGTTCTTCAGATGTTCATGCAGGAAGTCTTCCGACGCGTTGTGGGCTGCGATGATGGACGAGTATTTCGGAAAGTCTTGCACGAGCTTCATGAGGGTATCCATGGGTTGTTCGCTTTGTGTTACAAAGCTGGCAGCCTTCAGCCCTAAATCGGATACCTCGTCCTTGGACAAGGGCTTGAGGTCTGCGACGTCTTCATCGTCGTCTAGGCCGGTGCCCATTGGCTTTTGAGAAGCACTCTTCTCTCCCTGTTCAGCCTGCCTGTCGTCTATGACAATGTAGTCGGTCCGCTTCAGTTGTAGCTCGACACCGTATCCGTTCACTACCAGCGGTGTTGTTGGTGCCTTCAAAGAAGGCTTGTGCCGGACACGATACGAAGTCTTTCCTTGCTTGGCCGTATCGCTCAATGTCTTGTGCCATTTCTTGAATCGAGGAGCGGTGATGTCGGCGTATAGAATCGCAGGTAGAGCCGAGCTGTTGCCAAGTATGCGGTCGAAGGGTAGTTTGTATGTCCTGTTTGATTCTCAGCGTGTGCCATAGGCCAAGCCATTTGTACGTACCGCTCACTCTCAATGTTTCCGAAAGGCTCGTCTAGGTGTACGGAGCAGTATTGCTTCCCATGGAATGATGCCCAAATCTCGCATTTCTCGTTCTGCTCCGCCTTCAGTGAAGGCTCCACCGATGTGTTGTAGAATTGGTAATGTGCTTCTATCCGCGGCGCAGCCGACCGGATTGAGAGAGCGAGATCGAAGGAAGCGAGGGCTTCGGGCTGGGTGATATGTCCATCGCTTTTCAAGAGGTCCACAAAGGCTGTATACAGCGCCTGCTCCGTGGTCTTCTCGTCGAAGTACCCCTCGGATACGCGGTCGAGGATGGGGTAGTATGCCGTCGCATTCTCTTCTGCTGCAGTTTCTCTGGGAGGAGTTAGTTGTAGCTCTTGCTTTTGGCACACTCGAAGCTTACAATAGCTCTACTAGGTATGGAGCTGGATTGAAAGAAGCGAGAAGAGCGACACTGACACCTGGACGTGCCGCATGCGCGCCCATGTGCCTGAAAGCGCTGAGCACTAAGAGAGCTTTCGCCCTCAGCATAGAGGCTGAAGCTCGCATCGTGTAAACTTTGCCCCAAGCCCTAAAGGAGTCGTGGTGACGTGTAGCAATGACGAGCGATAGTCGTGATGTTTCGAAAGTTCAACTCCCGATCTCAAGAAGTTGCAACGTGTAGCATAACGTCCAGATTGTATTGGTCAGAGGATGAGGCCTGAATCCAGCCACGTGATACTGTATGATTCAACGCATTGGAAGTTCGCAAGGAAATTAGAAGCAGTAGTCGCGAACAGTACGAGAATTATTGCTCTGTCGCGTCCCCTCCAGCATATGGAGCTCCAAGTGTCAGGTACCAGATCCCTGCAGCCATGATGGCGCTAACGCGATAAGGCCGCGGCTTCCTTATCGCGTCAGTCCCGCCGCCGAACCTCCGTCTGCCATCACACCCGACGGAAAGCTTCCGCTCTTCACTCACCCGGCTGAATCTAGACGCGGCTCTTGCGTTGTGGAAGAACTATTAGCAGGAACTTCCCAATCCTTTCACCAAATTATGCCATGGCTACCGCCTAATTGCTGCCTACTCACGGAGTTGCCGTGAGCTGTGCCAGACTACCTAGGTACTGAACATGTACTAATCAGCAGCTCACGCCCTACAAGGATGCAAGGCGTAGCCAAGAGCTGCAGTCAGACTCGACATCGAGGAGTATGATGTCGCAGTTACTATCGTCCCCCCGGCATCGGTCTGCCTTTATATAGCAGGGTCTGCCGCCTGGTATTTCCTTACTCAAAGGATATGTAGTGCAAATCTCGACTCATCTTCCACCACCTTTTTTCAAACGACTCATCATCCCTCTTCTCCAACATGTCACAAACCGCAACATCGATCGAGCTTGTGAGCTATCCTGAGACATCGATTCCAGCCCTCACAGCGAAGCCATTGGGCCATGGAGGAAGCAAGGATACGCCGTCGATTGCTGAGGATTTACGTCCTATCAATGTGGCCCAAGACTCCTTCGCTGCTGAACAACGAGATGGTCCTGGCAAGGGAACGACTGCTATTGTCTTGGTCACGGTAGTGTGTGTCACCATGGTCAGCTCCATGCTGTCGGGTGTCATGACTGTCACTCTGCCTACAGTCGCACGCGAACTAGAGCTGGCACCTAGTGTACTCTTATGGTCTGTAAACATATCCCATATTCCATACTACCTACTGACGAGTCTAGGCCAATATCCATCTACGCCTTGACGTGCGGATGCACTCTTCTCCTCCTCGGGTCCGTCGCCGACGTCGTTGGCTCCCGACCTATGTATTTGGTAGGATGTCTTCTCCAATCCGCCTTTACACTAGCATGTGGATTGGCGCAGACAGGAACACAGCTCATTGTCTTCCGTGCCTTCGCCGGCGTAGCGATCTCCTTCTGTCTTCCTTCGGCTGTCAGTATCATCACCAGCACGTTTCCAGAAGGCAAGAGCAGGAACATTGCATTCGCATCCATGGGCGGTGGCCAACCCATAGGTTTCTCGTTTGGACTCGTGCTCGGAGGTATCTTCGCTGATACCATCGGATGGCGGTGGGGTTTCCACCTCAGTGCGATCACTAACACGATCGTCTTTGTTCTTGGGCTGTTCGGTCTCCCAAAGGTCGACAACAAGCAGCCGCATGTCTGGTCTCGCCTGAAGAGCGAGATTGATTGGGTTGGCATTCTCTTTGGAAGCGCATCATTGGCGCTCCTCTCATACTGTTTCGCGTGAGTGTTGATCTCACATATCTGATGGCTCGATGCTAATGTCTTTAGTTTGATCTCCGAAGAGACTGCTAGGATCCGAGAGCCCACTACACTCGGTCTGCTCATCACTGCGATCGCTCTTATCCCTGCATTCATCTTCTGGGTTGGCAGGCAGGAACGACTGGGCCGGCCCGCTATCATCCCGAATTCACTCTGGCGCAACCGCATCTTCAGCATCATCTGCATCGGGGTCTTCATCACATGGGGAACATTCAACGCGGTAGAGTCGTACCACACGCTCTTCTTCCAGAACGTCCAGAAGCTGTCCGCAATCCAGACGTCGATCCGGTTTCTACCCGGACCAGTAGCCGGAGCTCTCGCCAATCTGGTAATGGGCCTGATTGCTCACAGGGTTCGAGCTGACTGGGCGGTAACCGTCGGATTGTTCTGCACGACTCTTGGCGGGCTGCTTATGTGCATCATACAGCCGGAATGGTCGTACTGGAGCTGCGCGTTCCTTTCTGTGTTCTTTAATCCTATTGGTGCGGATGCGTTGTTCACAGTCTCGAACCTTGTCATCACTTCAGTGTTTCCAGCGCGGACGCAGGGACTCGCAGGTGGCGTCTTCAACACGGTAGCGCAGATTGGCAAAAGTGTAGGGCTCGCGACCAGTGCTGTCATTGCGTCTAGTGTGACGGAGCATTCGGGTTATGTTGAGAAACAGAGTCCTGCAGCACTTATGGAGGGGTTCCGTGCGGCGTTCTGGTATCTGTTTGCGCTGAGCTGCGCTACGGGGCTGCTGTTGGGGTGGGGGTTGAGGGGAATCGGGCGGGTGGGAATGAAGCGGGAGTGAATGTCAAATAAGACACAAATAGAGTCTACCGAAATAATTGAAAGTAATGTTGCCCTGCCAAGCGTTACACCCGGGCGGGTATGGTGAAGTGTGGAAGGTAGATGTGTAGCATGTTTCACGTTGGGTCCAGGGCTGGCACATGCAGATCCCGCCTAGTGACATCTGGACGCGCAACCAGGCCCAGGTACGGGAAGATCCACCTTTCAGTCGAGAGAGCTGACGACAACGAGGCCGAACGCACCCCCGGCGCCGCCTGCATCCCGCGCCATGATCATCACGTAGGTCCTGGTCTCGAACACCTCTCCACAACCATCAATGAGCCCGACCTACTAGCCGTTCCGTCACCCACCATGCTCAGCGGACCCCCGAGGGCCATCCCGCTCGTCTTCGTCTTCCTCGCCGCCGGCCTCGTGTGGTGGTATCTCCACCAAATCCCGTCAATTCCAGCATGGAACTCCGGGAGCAGCGCTGCCCACGGCTACCGGCCCTCGCTGCGCGGTGACCCACTCGACTTTGGCCTGCCGCTGCGCTTCTCAGAGGCGCAGACGAAGCCGCCGGGCAGCAACTACACGTACAAGATCATCGTGCCCAAGACGCAGAAGGAGGACATTAGCTGGATGGACAAGGAGATCCCCGATGCGCCGCTGGTCGTGTACGAAGTCGACAACCCCAATGCCGAGCACAAGATTCCTAAGAACAAAGGTCGCGAGGCCATGGTACGTATGGCATATCTGGCATTGAGCCCCCAGCTAACTTCCCAGGTCTACCTCTCGTACATCATCGACCACTACGACGACCTCCCCGACACGTCCATCTTCATGCACGCCCACCGCCACGCCTGGCACAACAACCAGCTCCTCGGCCTCGACGCCGCGCAGATGATCCAGCGCCTCAACCACGAGCGCGTCGCCCGCATGGGCTACATGAACGTGCGCTGCCACCACGACCCCGGCTGCCCGGACTGGATCCACATGGACCGCCCCGGCGGCGACTTCGATTTCTTCCACAAGCCCGAGGAGATCTACTGGCGGCGCAACATCTGGGAGGAGATCCACCCGGGCGCCCCGATCCCGCCTTCCATCTCGGGAATCTGCTGCGCGCAATTCGCTGTGTCGCGCCAGCGCATCCAGGAAGTGCCGATCGAGCGCTTCATTCACTACCGCAAGTGGCTCCTTACAACGGGCATGGACGACCAGTTCTCCGGCCGCATCTTCGAATACATCTGGCACTACATCTTTACCGGCCATGAAGTCCACTGCCCGGCTATGAACACTTGTTACTGCGACGGCTACGGTATCTGTTTCGGCGGCCAGAAGAAGTACGACGAGTACTTCAAGAAGCAGGATGCGCGCAATGAGAAGTTTACCCAGCTGGATAAGTTCAACAAGCGCGAGGAGGAGGCTAAGAAGGATGGCAAGGACCCCAATTTCTCCAAGGAAGAAATCGAGACTATTAATAAACTGAGGACGGAGATTAGTGGTATGGATAGGGAGTTGGATGCGCTGAGAGAGGACGCGAAGAAGAGGGGTGATGATCCCAAGGCGAGGCAGGAGGAGACGGAGAGTTGGGATTCGTCGCATATCTGGGACTATGCTCCGAAGAACGGATGATTCAGCAGTATCTCACAATGGTTATCTTTCGGGAATGGGGGTAAACGTCACTGTTCGCGGAAACTGCATGCAGAAGTAAGGCGTTACAGAGGCGTTCTGAGTAGGGCGGCGTACTGTTGATATGTCCTGGCGAGCTTGCGCCGTGCATGAGCGCTGCATTAGATTTCATGTCATTTCAATAGTATTTAACGATGTGTTGTTCTACTACATTAAGTACGGATACCATGGTGTTGTCAAGGGGTTCTTTCACCTGTCGACCTGATCAATCGATGTATCTCTACTGGCGGTAGGAAAACAAACGATAGTACCACGCGATTCTTACCGACTTTACATGCACTGCATGCAATTGAGGTAAAGGTTGAGAGATCTACTGCTTTGCGCTACCCCTTCTGGTGGTGCTGATCTCCACAACCACCCGTTCGTACGACCAGCACGTGCTAAAGCCACCCTCAGCATCCCGCCCTACCTAACGCTTGCAACATCTCCTCTCATCGCAAACTGCCATCCGTCGTTATCCTCTCACAAAGACCCATAATATCAACTCACCAAACGGGCGATCCACCTATCCAACGACCATGTCCCACCTGCCTCTCCAAATGCGGGTGGCTGGTGCGCTTGCCCCGGGGTGAGGCTCTGCTGCTGCCTTCCCTAATCGAACATCGCTACCAGTCCGAGCGCGATAATCTCCGCGTGTCGTCAACGGTGTCTCTCTCTTTACCGAAATGTTTGACTGCTGTCTGAGACAGCTTGTTTGACCTGGTGTTCTGTTGTCTTGTTTTTATTGTGGCTGGGTGTTTGACACGCGACGCGTTGATGACCTTTGTTGGTCGCGGTGATTGCAAGAGGAGGAATTCACAGCTGCAAGAGTCACCGTCACCACCGCATTCACTGTTCTTCAATCATTACGAATGCTGCCTAGAGAAAAGAGAGAGAGATAGCAGGTTCGATCGTTTCGCGGTTTTCTCACTCCTGTACGACGCGCGCGACACTTCACGCATACACCGAAATCTCGCCGAGGATCACACCCACATTGCGAGCGCACGATGGATGCGACAATCGGTGACAACATCACGCTAGAAACGCCAGAGCCAAAGAAGAGGAGACAAAGCACACAGAGCGCACAACCGAGACGACGAAGCGAACCGAAAATCACATTGCCGGCGCTGAGTGATTTCGCCAGGTCACATGTCGCAAACTGGTCTCCGCCCGTACCTGTAACGCCCGAATCGGAAGCATTACGAAGCTTGAAGAGTGAATGGAGAAAGCAATCCCGCGAAGAGCCTGTGTACGATGGGCCGAGGCCTGAGAAGCAACTTTTGATTGTGGACCTGCAAGATTACGAAATTTATCGGACACCAGAGAGCGAATGCAGAGCGTATGAGCTGACGAGCCTGCACTATTTGGAGGTTTCGATCGCGAAGAAGTTGTGCTTCGATGGCTTCATCTGCGTGGGATCGACCAAACACTACGTACATGCAGTACCAATTCAGGATAGCTCTGTCGAGGGCTACGGAGACGATGAGAATTCTGGTGTTACTACTTACATACAGTCTACGTTTGCGAGTAAGGACAAACATTACGACATATGGTACAGACTTGCCAAGCCGGCCCCAGGCTACAAAGAGTTTCAAAAATCCTTCCTCTGGGTAGCGCAACTGGGAAAGCATATTATCGACTATGTGGACAGCCAACCCGTGGGATCAGTCGGGCTCAACGACTTCCGCAAAGACTTCTATGACTGGCTCTCGCCCCGTTTTGATCAATGCGCGGACTTCCAGCAATGGCATACTGCTTTCAGACACCAAACTGACTTTCGCGTCGCCGTGCATGCCTACATCGAATACTTCTACAACCAAGCCTTCAATCTCCCCAACTCGACACAACTGCTTGCTCATCCTCTCTGGAGCGAGTGCATGGCTAAAGGGTTAACGGCTGTCAAGGCGCAGAAGCAGATCATTGAGCACACCATCGCCACACCAGAAGTTTACGATTGCTTCAAGCACATGTACTTTGGTGAGCAAATTCAGGCAAAACGGCCTACCGACACGGTCAGGATACAACAAGAGCGCAGGAAACGAAGGCTGGGGTTTGCGCAGAGTTTCTGGGCACGGAAACCGACTACTCCGCGACGAAATGTATGTCAACCGTACGGTGACTCACCAGTGAAGGTTAGCGATGTCGTTGCCTTGATCCCCGACGAGGCTGACGCAACCGTTTGGCGCAACACGACATGGGAATGGCTCGCATACGTCCAGGGTACCGAGTCCTTGGAGGATGGAACGCAGAGGTTGTTCGTGCTATGGATTTATCGACACCACGAGACGAACATTTTCAAGGCGGAATATCCCTACAAGAACGAGGTCTTCCTATCGGATAACTGCAATTGCTCCGAAGGAGAGCTATTGTCTACGGACATCAAGGGGAGGTACGATTTAGACTGGTCACCATCTACTATCGACGCTGAGCGCTTTTTCGTTCGGCAAACCTACGTCACACAAGACAGTGCATTTGTCAGTCTTCGATCTTCACACAAGACTTGCACGTGTCGGAAGGAAAAGCGCACATTCGTCGTTGATTACTGTCGAGGCGACACGGTATATCTATCAAGGACCCGCAACAGAGACAAGTTCCTGGATCCAGCCGTCTTTCAACACCTTGACCGCGCCAAGGGGATTGTCAGAGTGCGAAGACTGTTACGACTGGAACGCGACTGCAGAGAACTAGCAGCCAAAGCTCGGCGCTTGAATCTCTTGGCCAATGAGCTTGTCCTCACGGACGAATACGAAGACGTGTCCATTTCCCGCATCCAGAGGCGCTGCTATGTCAAGTTCGTGAGTAAGTCTGACGTCCAGAACGGACAGATACCTTTCACGTACAATCGTGGCGGTGCTGGTGATCTCTGGTTTTTGTCTATGGGATTGACTGGCGTGGAAGGCGATCAGAAACTCATCTTTCTGCGGAATCTTCCGAAGACATTCAACGAGGGCCCTGACATGGCTTCTGCTAATTCATTGAGAGGAATGAGTATCTTCAGTGGCGGCGGCTCGCTTGATCGAGGCCTTGAAGAAGGTGGAGCAGTTACCTTCCACTCCGCTGTCGACTTCAGTCCCCATGCCATCCACACTCAGCGAGCTAACTCGAAGAGCCCGAAGACGATGCATCTGTTCTGTGGCTCCGTCGATGATCACTTTGACGCAGCTCTCAAGGGTAATAAACCTGACCTTGTCCCTCGGGTCGGAGAAGTCGACTTCCTTGCTGCTGGATCGCCATGTCCTGGGTTCTCAGCTCTTCAGCATAATATTCTCAGTCCGCAGTCCCTGAAGAATGCGTCACATATTAGCACCTTCTGCTCGTATGTGGATCTGTATCGCCCTTTGTACGGTATACTCGAAAACGTCGTCAACATGGCTTCAACACGGACTGGATTTGAAGACCAGAACGTGTTATCTCAGGTTGTTGCTTCACTCGTATCAATGGGATATCAGTGTAATCAGTACATCATGGACGCTTGGAGTTACGGCAGCGCGCAACAGCGTTCACGCCTGATCCTCACCATAGCTGCACCCGGACTTGAGCCAATTGCCCAACCTTGGCACACCCACGCGCGGCCTTACGAGGAGACGGCGGGACGAAGCTTAGGTTATCTACCCAACGGACAGAAATTTGGTGAACGCGAGCACTACCCAACGCCTTTTCCGTATGTACCAGCGGTTTCCGTCGATGCGGAACTACCCGACATTGGCAATGGTATCGTACAGACTTGTATTCCGTTCCCAGACCACCGCTTACCGCAAGTACCAACGCGTAAGCAACGAGCATTGGTCAGATGCATTCCACGACAGCCTCCGGGCTGTGACTACAAAGAAGCAGATAGACGTGGTCTGATTCCGACTTCGCTACGAGATCCGAGAACCGACATTGGAAAGGCGTACCGAAGGATCAAAGCAGCTGGATTGGTACCCACTATCACAACGAATATAGTCATTCGCGATTCTCGGAATGGCGCTACGTTGCATTGGGATCAACATCGATCTATCAGTGTGTTGGAAGCTCGTCGGACGCAAGGATACATGGATGAGGAGCCCATCATTGGTCCGCTTCCGGAGCAGTACAAAATTGTTGGCAATGGCGTGGATCGTAAGGTCGCTTTCGCGATGGGGCTATCTCTGCTTCAGGCTGTTCAAAAGAATGGTGAAGGCTTTACTGCGAACGGGACGACGCAGAACTCATCTGAGATGTTGGACGCCACTAGCGACACTGAAATGTCACAGATTGAGAAGATTGTTAAGAAGCCCAAACCTCAGTCTAAAGCACAGGATATTTCGCCTTCTCAGAAGGAGCATCACCGCAGGAGTTCCGGACCGGTGGTGGTGATACCTGGACGACGGCAAACTGATGGTACTACTTCGACTGTAAACAGTACCCCGGGGCCATCTAGAAGGAATGCGAGCATGCCTAATGGCGCAACTAGCGAAACCTCACAGACTCCACCTGTATCACAGCCTAACGCCTCAGTTCCCCAGACCACCGGCTTCTTCTCTCGACTTTCCAAATCTCTCGACGCTGGCGTCGGTCGACTATCACTATCGAGCATGTCCAATTCCTCCTCTACCCCGACTTCCGCACCAACGCCCGTGAAACGCAGTCGAGAAGAAGATGAAGACCCTTTCGCCCCAGAAAGCCAGAGCCGCGCATCAAGAGAGCGGCCCAGGAAACAGCCCCGAGTCAGCGCAACGCCATCAGCACAAGACGGGATCAAACTTGAAACAGAACCCCGTAGGAGGAAGTCTGTATTCTCGCATCGAAGCGGCAGTGTGAGTTCGACGAGCTCGAGTAAGACTCGTTATACTCGTCATTCAGGGTTGTCGGTGGAGTATGTGCCGAAGACTTGGAATAAGAGGGTTGAGGTTGAGACAAGAGGGGTGGTGTTTGGAGAGGAGTTTGTGGATGCTGATTAGTTAGGCTGGTTTGTTGATGGAAGAGTTGAAGAGTGAATTGGGCGATTGCGGGTCGTCTTTGGTGGTGGGCCAAGCAGTTGGACCACACGATGCGAATACCCAATATTCTGGAACCGAATCAATGTATCACAGCTTTGATGTGTATCTCTGTAACTTCAATCAAGATATTAAGAAACAGTACTTCCCTAGTTTAGCATGCCCGAATCCACCTACCTAGGTATCAAAACAGGCTGAGGCCTTCCACATCCGGACTAGTGCGGCTCCATTTGCGCCCGCTGCCGATCTCGCCAAAAAATGCGGGACAACTTTTTTGGGGTAACAACGACAACGACCAACTCCACGATTTCATAGTCAGCAGAACCAAAGATGAAGTTTACGGAGTTAACCGAGATTGAGCTGCCAGCGGCATATGACGCTCATGTCCATCTTCGCGATGGCGAGATGTCGCAGCTTGTTACGCCTACGATTCGTAAGGGTGGTGTGAATCAGGTGTATGTTATGGTGAGTTTGATACCATCCTACCCAATTCTATCTTGTCGCTTTCTCTCTCTGTTTCCTTCGCAGTCATCTTAATTTCCTCTATCTTCTCAATTCCTGTCTACACGTGCTTTCGAATTTCTGCGTCTTACGATATTTGGTCACGTTTTTCTAACCCATCTTGTCATTGCTATAGCCGAATCTTGTCCCGCCCATCACATCCGTGAAGCAATGTCTCGAATACCGCGACAGACTCCGTGCTATCGAGCCGAATGTGGATTACGTCATGTCGTTGTATCTTCACGAGGATATCACGCCGGAGGTTATTCGTGAGGCGAAGAAAGCGGGAATTACGGGTGTGAAGTCGTATCCTGCTGGTGTTACTACGGTACGTACAGATCCAGTCACTCACCCCTAAAGATATGCCAAAGAAAAGGAGATAAGAGAGGAAGACATTAACGAACTCATGTGACAGGCTGACTAACCCCCCACAGAACTCCTCCTCAGGCGTCCTCTCCTACGAACCCTTCTACCCCGTCTTCGCCGAAATGGAGAAACAAAACATGGTTCTCAATCTCCACGGCGAAGTCCCGTCCACGCCCCCAAACACCCACGTAACGAAAACCAAAGACACAAAAACAGGCGCCATAACCATCCTCAACGCCGAACCCGCCTTCCTCCCCACCTTCCTGCTCCTCCACGCCAAGTTCCCCGCCCTCCGCATAATCCTCGAGCACTGCAGCACATCCGCCGCCCTCTCCGCCGTCCGCTCCTGCGGCCCCTCCGTCAGCGGCACAATCACCGCGCACCACCTCAGCCTCATCATCGATGATTGGGCCGGCGATCCCTTTTGTTTCTGCAAGCCTGTTGCGAAGACGCCTGAAGATAGGGATGCGTTGCTGCGCGCGGTGGTGCAGGGGAATGGGAAATTTTTTCTGGGGACGGACTCGGCGCCGCATCCGAGGGGGAAGAAGAGGGGGGAGGATAAGGTTGCTGCGGGGGTTTTTACGCAGCCGTATGCGGTGGGTTATGTGCTTGATGCGTTGGAGGTGGGGGTTAGGAGGGGGGTTGTCAAGGAGGAGGAGGTGACGAAGGAGGTGCTGGAGGGGTTCTTTGGGGGGTGGGGGAGGGGGTTTTATCAGATTGTGGATGAGAAGAAGGAGAGGATTGTGTTGAGGAAGGGGAAGGAGACGGTGGTGGATGTGTTGAGGAAGGAGGGTGGGGGCGAGTGTGAGGTCGTGCCGTTTAGGAAGGGTGAGGTTACTTGGGGGGTGGAGTGGAAGTGAGCGTTTGTCTGCATCATAACCGTGAGATGAGAGGCTATTATATATGTAGTTTGGCTCGACATCGGTTACAGACATAGTGACAACAGTGGCCATCTCTCCATCTTCAGACATTGCCATTCGGACATTACAATCCTGTCCAGTGTGCTGAGTTCGTTGCTAGGTCAAGCGGAAAAGGGCGGTGAAAGTGAAAGGGCAGTATATATCTGCGGTTTGAAAAGCTTGTGCAGACGGAGACCTCGTTCTTCTGTATGCTGCTGTAGTATACAGAACCAGAGAGTCATGCATACGACATCAAGTTCTGTAGCAGATATCTCCAACATTTTAATGCCATACTATGCCTACATTAATGTCATGCCACTGGTATGCATCGCGCCTTAATGCCACAATACGCCTACATCACGCACTGCCCTTACTCTATACATATCCCATCTCCCACATAGCCGTCAACCTCATTCCTTGCATATCCCATACGAATTCCAACTCCGATGTCGCCGTCACGCTCACTTCCGCTCTCACATCCAGCTTCTCGCTCCTCGCTCTCTGCCGAACTCGCGGTGAACGTGAGCAGTGAGCCGCACTTTTCACCGCCAAGACAGCAGCGAGCGTTTGCACCCAGGACGCCCATAACAAAAGTTTTCATGCCGCCGATTTTTGAGATTCTTCAGCAACACACACTGACTACACTCGTAAGTATCCATTCTTTTTGTTATGGTATCAATGGCTTTGCGGACTACATTGGTTTCGGCAGCTTTATGCGTTGCTGCAGCTCACTTCCTACCACCTACATCACCCCCAGCATCTCACTGCCCTTGTGGCATCCTGCCCTCTACCGCCTACATTACCCCCAGCACCTCAATTCCCGTCTCTCATAGTCCTCCCCACCGCATACATCCCCCCCAACCCCTCCTCTCCCTTCCCGTAACTAACCACATAGTCACCATGACCACCCACACCACCACCACACTCCTCGCCTACAAGGCAACGTCGCCGGCATGGCCCACCACGCCCGCCCTCACCACCATCAATCTCGGGCGCGACATCGCCATGGAAGTCCTCGCCACAGAGGCACATCAAGACCGCCTTCGGGCACTACAAGAAGACGAGCTCAAGGAGCTCGAGACGATTTCCGGTGAGTTGTTGCTTTGCGTGCAGCGATTTGAAGCGTTTTTGGCGAGATGGGATGGCGAGGTTTTGGGGTTGGAGGAGAAGAGAGATGAGGGAGGAGAAGAGATGGAGGAGGAGGAGAAAGAAGAGGGTGAGTTGGAGGAGGGTGAGATGATGGAGGACGACGACGACGACGATTCGCCGCCTCGCGAGCGAAGGAGGTTCGACAATTCGCCATCCCCTTCGCCCGAGTACATGCGCCGTCCGGTCGTATACCGGGACTACCAGAACGTCCGGGGCACCGACCCCAACGCCATCAGCGTAGGCGACATCGGATGGGCGCCACTCCCGCGCATGGCAGCCACCGCCCGCGCCACCCACGTCCCGTCGCAGTACGGCCAGATCGTCATCAAGGTCTACCCATTCATTATCGTCAAGAAGATGGCCGACTGCATGATCGGCGTCGTCATTTCGTCTGCCGGCGGCAATGGTCTCCGCCACAAGCAAGACTCGCTGCGGGCGCGCAGTACGTGCGTCGTTGAAGAGGGTTCCCGGGGGCCTACCAACGTCTCTTATGGTTGGGCCATGGGGCCTCGTCTGGATCTGGAGGTGGATGGGACGAGTGCGTATAGGCCTGTCCCTGGTGCGTTTGTGGACGTGTTGGACAGCCACCAGATCCCGTACAACATGAGGTGGAAGGCGGACGGGCGCCTGACGCATGTGAGTAGGGGGAATTTGTGGAAGATGAGGTTCGCGCTGATGAGGGCGGAGCCGCTGGGGGTTTGAGTTGGGGACTACGGGCATGTGTTGAGGCGTTTTGTATATTAGTATGAGGCAGCGTGATGGGCTTCGCGTACTTTTCACCCTGCGAATTGAACCTGTATCCTGCCATGTATGCTTCGTCTCCCTTTCTGCCATATCCATGCATACACCCGTGACTCATTGTAGGTCCCAGCCCTATTATCCACACATCCTATATAACTCTGCCGCTTCTTGTAGTTCCCTAAAGCTCTTGCAATCCGCTATAATTTTCTGCTCAGATTCGGGCCAGCCATTCTCGTTCACCATCTTTATAATCTCTTGGCATCGCTCACGTCCTTCCAGGCCGACGAGACGCGTAAGAGGACAAGCACAATGTGCTAAAAGCGTATCGACCTGTTCGCGCATCTCGTCACTCAGCACAATGGTATCGACTAGCATCTGTCCTTCTGTTGACGCATTGTGACACCGTGTGTCTATGTCGTTTGACCCAGCGTGATGGTCTGAGTTTTTGCATACTCTAACGATCCAAATGAAGTTATGGTATATTCGCTGCTTTGTTAGCTCAAAGTGATGGGTACAGGGTTTCATGTACTTACATTGAATTCCACTCGATCTCCCTCCTCATAGCGTAACCAACAGTCGCCAACGGCTTCGGTGCCCATGCTCCTACCGGTGTATGCAGGTTTCCATTCGTTGAGTCTGTAAACAGGGTAAAAGTCTCGACGTAAGATTATACCACTCTTTTCAGGCACATTCTCGGGCGGTTCAGTAGTGCCGTACCACCACGCTGCATCTACCTTCCGTAGATTTTCGATCCGATCCTGTGGCTTGTAGCTCAGCTTTCCGGGTTCTTGGGTAGGATAGCTTTCGGTACAAATACCCGTTACGCCTGCAACGTTGAGATTTCTGCTCGCCCTATGAACAGGATCACAGATATGAACAATTATAGGCCTTGTAGTAGCTGTGTCTTCTTCTGTGTTTGACGGGTCGGTAATGAAGTCCGGGTCACCGATCGTTGCAGTTGTAGAATGATTAGTCCTCATGCTTGCATTGTCGGAATCGGTATTCGGCCGCTGTCTCATAGCTGCGTTGGAAGCTTTTTTGTATACTCTGGAGTTCGAAAGAACAGATTCGAAGTGTTGTTCGGAAGAGCCGTCAGTAGGATCGACAAGGGTTGAGAGATTGCTCGGGAGAGTATCGGGGGAATCTTCGGTTTTGAATGTGGATTCCGCCACTGTGAGGGCATAAGCCTTTCGCATGTGTTGGGTGTGTTCGTTCATTGTTGTCATCGTCTTGCTTTGTTCTTTTTCCTGAAGGGGTTTCTTTCTCTCGGTCGAAGAATCCCTGCTAAATTCAGTCGGCCATTCATGGCTGTAGCTGTACGCTATATGGAGACTTTGTCTTCACTCACCTGTTCAGCGGGCTGATCAACATGTTGATCGCAGTATGGTTTTGATGCAGTCGTTCTAATAAGTCCTTGGCTTCATCCTCATTCCACAGAGTCCAAAATTTGGCTTTCGAGCTCATGCTACCATCACCGTGGACGCCCTTCATGATCTTCGACACGTACTTCCCGAGGCATACCCCCAGCACGAGAGAGCTTATCAGAGTCGTATCGAGCGTATCGACCAAGTCTGGGTCCGCGTGCACAGCATTCGTTTCGTCCAGAAGTAGTGCCTGCAGCCGCGAAAGTAAGGTCCCATTAAGTTTGAGCTGGGAACAGAGGAATCGCGCGGTAACGGGCGCGTGCTTCCATTTGTTCCGTATGTCGTTCAGGCCTTTGGCAGCTCCGAGGAAAGTCGTAATGATCCGGAGCTAAAAGTATGGTTAGCTTGACAGCTTCAAATAGGCCCCGGTTTTGCTAAACTTACCACATTCGTTGCGATGCTCAAGGGGTCCATCTTGCTCGTTGTGAAACATGCGAGTTGAACAGGTGCGTTGGAATAAGGCTGGTGTTATAACCTAGCGATGAGGTATAAGAGCGTCCCATTTGCCATCGGAATGAGAAAGAGGCTTTCAGCTGCAGCCTGCTGTTTGATGTGTGGTTCCATTATCTGCAAACTTCCGTAGTCATCATTATGCTTATTCTCCTGCTCGTGCGATCGTCGGGATCCTGTCATAGATGTCAAGCTAAGTTATCGCACTTACATCACACGGCGCGGAAAGCCGTGACTTTTGAACATTTTGTGAATTTCTGAAATACCTGCTATGCCATACGGAATAGCATGTTTACCTTCCAGCACCCTCCCATAGAATGCATGACTGCTACCATCATTACATATTTCTTTCGTGATTTATATCTCACACAACGAACGAGACCAAACCCTCCACCCAGCGACATATCCTCTGCGGAATGTTTACAACAAGGTATCCGTCGCCAAAGCCCTGGGCCTGCCGATTTCTAACCTCCCTTCCTAGGAGCGTTGGGCACAGCCACCGGAGCGCGAGCCGCTCCTCCCGCAGACGCGCCCTTCTTACGCTGGTAGAAGGCTTCGACAACCTTGCGAACGTGAGCCTTAGCCTGGTGCTTGTCGGCGGGTGCTTTGATGCTGTCGAGCGTGTACGGGGCCTGGATGAGGACGGAGTCGTTGACGACGATCTGCGTATCTGCCCACCGAGTTGGTAGACTGTGGTTCGTATGTTAGCCTTGATATCCTGTCTCTGCCAGATCGGATATGACTCACGTCCTCGATATAGCATCGAACAACTCCTGTGCTTCAGCACTAACACCCTTGCCCTTCTGCATATCCTTCTTCTTCATCTCGCGGATGGTTTGGTCTTCGCGGGCTTGTAGCGCGGCCAGATCCACCTTGGAGATACTGGGGAGTGCGCCATCGAAACCCGCTGCGGACTCTGCTACGCGCTCTCCTGTGCCGATGATCTCGAAGGACTCAATGTGTGCGAATGGGATGATGTGGTAGTCGCCGGGCTGGCTGAATAAGGAGGTCGGGGAGGGGTTCGGTGGGGCGGGTGCGGTGTTGATGGCTATGGCGTGGGTGAGGTTGCAAGCCGTGAAGAGGGTGCCCTCGAGGACGTTCTTGCCAGGGGCACATGTGACTTTGATGCTGGGAACTGTCAGCTCTTATCCCAGCGGTGATACCACTTCGACGAGCGGAACGTACCGTGACCCAACA